CTCTGCCATCAACAAATGAGGATTCAAGAAAACTCTTAGCAACATGCACATTTTGAGAAAGAAAAATGTAGTGCTCATCCCAGGCCTGCCTTAATTTTTTCCTTATCTATAGCAAGACTTACAAATCTTAGCCTGCCAACGTCTAAGCTGTTTTTACTAAGGTGTCCCCATGTACAATTGCATTTTCTACTCATTGTGGGTTTTGTACTATTTGAACTTGAATAAACCTTCCCTGATTTAATTTATTATATCTCCTTAAAAAACCCAATCAATCCACTAAACCTAAACAAAACAAACCCCAAAGAATTATTTTACCTACTTGATATTTCTACTGTCGTCCATTTTCCATTTTTATTACTCATGGAATAGTCGATAAATCTATAACAATTTTCTTGAAATATTTGGACACAAGTGTTCTGATGCTTGACAATTGGAATAACAGGAGATCCTAGTTAGCATTTCAGCAATACCAGGAAAAGTCCATTTACCTTTTCTTGTAAAAGTACCATCTCTTCTGACTCTCGCAGGCATCAGTGACAAGTTGAGACATGGTAAGTCCAAGGACTTTCAACTAGCTTTTGATGTTCTTATGGAACAAATACAGGACCCATGCAAATAATCCCATGTGCATCAATAATGGGGAATAAAATCTGAGAGAAGATACATCAATCTTCTACTGATCTCCCCCTTCCCAATGAAGACTAAGGATGTTAAACCTTGACAAATCAAGATGATTATTCTATGTGTATGGTTTTTTAGATAATTTTTGCTTATAATATTGATGATTATGATATCCACTTCATGACAGTTAAATAGGTGTTTGGATCAGGCTAACAGAATGCCACAAATGTAGTTCCCTCATGTATTCGCTTAGTCATTAGCAAATTTAAATGAAGCTCATAGTATCACTATGAAAAATAAAGTCTTCCTGATCAGAAATGAAGTTCAGAATCTGGCTCAATATCAACTTGATGTTGACATTATACTGTTATTTGGCTTCTAATATTTGACTACTTGATAGTGTCATTATATTTTTATTTAGCTTTGACCTGACTGGGTTTTTTGTCAAAAGATTTTAAACTAGGCAATGGGGTCACAATACAGAAAATATTGTAATGAAGTTAAGGAGGAAAGTATTTTCTATCAGTTCCAAGATAACACAGCAAATGTATTCAAAAACAGAATTACAAAGCAAAGAAGGAAAGGATTGAGTCCTTTTGAAAGTGGACAATCTACAATAGTATCCTACCCTGAAAAAGGAGGAAGGACTAGATATTTCTTGTCAGAGGACATGTTATGTTTTGCTATAGAGATTTTTCATCTGATCATTCACAAAATTCACTACAGCACATGAGTACTCAGAACATCCAATTAGTTGAGAGGAGCAAAAAAACCCCACCCAAAACTCAAAAACAACAACAACAAAATTTAATCTGTACCACTTGGGGTGGAGGAAGAGACAGAGAAGTTGGAAAGAGAGGTACCACACATTAAAGTTTTACATGCTTCCCATGTTTCCTTAGTATAACACACAACTGCTTTTTTTAATCTCTAATTTACAACCTTCAATATTGTTCTTTTATTTCACTATGATTAAACTTGTACCTGTGACAAAAATGCTACTAACACTGTTCAATGCACTGCCAATGTGCATAATCCTTTTTGATACAAATTATTTTCATGAATGATCAGACTGACTTTCTCTTGTAGTCTGGTTTAGGTCAAGGGAAATTCAGGTGATGACATTTAATATGAAACCAACTAAGTATGAAAGGTTAAAAGTGAAAGACCTTTTTTTTCCTGCAGCTTCCTTATAGGCAAACAAATGAATAATGAATTCACTGTAACATCTTCATTTGATCTACTCAGCTGTAAAATATGAATTCTGAAATCTGAAGTCACTCAGACATCTTACACATGCTAATGAACCAAATTTCTTTCTGCAAATTCAATTAAAAGCCTCATCTTTATCTATGCAGTCCAGGTTATAAAGTCTGATACCAGGCTGCAGGACTACATAATGAAAGAAAGCTAGCTAAACAGAAATGACGACATGGAAATGGAAAGCAGAAAGTCAGAGGGAGAAACAATCTTGCCTTGCAGCAGGAATAATGATCAGGCTGCCAAGACACAAAAGCAATCAAAACAGAATCAAAGGAGAAAGAGAAACAAAATTAGCAAAGCTCTTCATCCATAATGATATGTAACAGTGCTTATATTTCATGTTTGAAATTTCACTTGTTTTTCTGCTACAAGAATATGCTATATAAAAATGATAGCAATGAGAAAAAAATAGCAATGTTGGGTTTTTTTTCCTGCACAAGGATTCCCACTGCTGCCCCACCATCAATACCATTAATTACATTACATGCAGTATGAGAAGAGGTAACTGGTATGCCATTTCAAAAAGCTGCTGACTCTGAGACTGGGAGCTGAGTTACATACTGGATAGCTGGTATGTAACGCACTCCAAGGAATGCATCAAATTCAGCCTATGAACATAGAGGGCGTTACATTATGCACAAAAATTACACAAATATAAGCATTGATAGCATGAGCAATTCATTGACTAGAATGTCCAGTTTCTCATTCCACTTACAGAATGTATTGCTTCTGAATGCTAATCACTTATGGAAGTGATTATTATTCTGATCAGTGTTTTTTCAGGGTGCAGCCAACAAAGGCTAGAGTTAGCTTAAAACTCTGCTAGGAAATTATTGGAGAGAATGAGAAGAATTTCATTTAGCTACATCAAAACATCCTTCTAGACAGTGGCTGACTGTGGTCTGCAGTATTAAGATAAACTTTCAAGTGCTTAAGTATGCCTTTTGCAATGGGCTGCTTATTAGGAACTGATTTTTTCTTTGCTCTGGGGTCATTTACCAGTAACTTTAAAGAATTAATTAGTGAGGAAATGGGCAAAATTACATTTCCTCAATTCCAAACAGGCAGTACCTGGACTAGACAAGGTCTGTAGACCCAAGATAAAATTAAAAATTCTGCTAAAATTACCCTCTGCTATGTACTAATTACCAACAGGTATGTAAAAGCAGTGGTGTTAATGTAGGTTGAAGTTACATGTGGGAAGCAACTCTATAATTAGAATGGTATACATTGCTTGAACTGCAAAAAGCCTACTCTACTTATAGAAATAACAGAAAGGGTAAAAGAATAAATATATATGTTTTGGTAAGCCTCCAGAAGGAAATGACTGCTGCCAAGAGGTTCATGTTATGTAATCATTGCAATTATAGGTACCCAAGCATATGAAAAAGACATCAATGCCAACACAGTATAGCATTAGGCTCTGTAGTGGACTCCACCCTGTTCCAAGCTGACACATGCTGAAATATTTTCCTTTTGAAATGGAGCTCATTCATGAACTACTGAAATACCAACTATTATCCAGTTCCCTCTGTAAGATACCTATATTGATTTAAAACCAGTCTGGATGATAAATCTTCTGTCCTGCTCCATAATGTCTTTCTATATTACTGAACTCTTCTTGATCCCCCAAATTTATGGCATTTTTAAACTCATTGCACAGAGCCTTGATACCTTAGCTTTTTCTACCTTCCACCTGCAGTCCTGCAGCCTGCTTCCCACTTGCAGCTTCCTGCCTCTTCACACAAGCTCCTAGGACAGAATACCTCAGATTGCTTCCAGCAGTGTTTTTTCTGTGACACTCCTGTTTATTTTATTCACCTCTTGAATTTGAAAACCCTCTACTGTTGTTGGCAGGGTCCCAAGGGAAGTGATGACTACTGATATTAGAATCACCACTTTTTTCTTCCACTTTCTAATTTTTACATTTGGTTGAAGTTTCTGGCTTATGATATAGGCCACATAAACGTGTTTACAGAAAACTCAGCAATGAACCAGCTATGCAGCACTCTCCCCAGCCAATGTGTGCTCCTAGCAATGGTAACAGCATCATGAGCCCAAATAACCCATGAGAACTTCAAGTACCATTTGACACAAAATACTCTTGCTGTAGAAAATGTTTGATAGAGGAACTACGATTGAGGGCTAAATACTTGTTTGTCTTCCTGACTGGCTGCTGACAATGATTTTTCTTATTTCTCTTTCTCCCCATCTTTGTGTTCTTATCTTCTGTTTTTCTTTTTTCTCGTTTACTCCCTCCTTTCCATTAACATCCACTCTTAAAACTGATGAATGCCACCAAAAACGGACCCACTAGTAAATCTTCATGCAACACACAATGATATGTTACTACACTTTGTATCACTTTCTTTATCTTATAAAAAACCCTAATTACTATTTTTTATTTCCCTTTACATATAGCACATATTTTATTATAACTTTCCTAATAATAGAATATATTATTTGGATAGTATCATGCTATTATCAGAACAATATCCATATGTTTCAGTGCTTTACTTTCCTAATTTTACTTTAGTATGCAAAATTGAATTTGAAATACCACAGATAATTTCTTATTCTGTTATTGTGCGTGCTGTTGCAATTTTCCTAACTACCAGCATGTGCCCAAAAAAAAAAAAAAATGTTTCTCAAGCAAATCCAAATCCTCAAATCCTCACTGATGTTAAATAATGCTGAAGTTATGCCATTTAAAACTGAGAACTGAATGCTGCTGACATACATTAACTTCCTCACAACAGGATGACACAATCATATTCTTATTACTACTGAGGATGTAATTCTTTTGGTCATCTCATTAAGATTTCCAACATTGTTAAAAAATAAAACAACCCCCCAAAATCACTGTGATAAAAAAATTAAATTTTTTCTAGAACATCAAAAAATATTAAATAAATGCCATGACTTGGTAGCTTCATAGTGAAAGCAAGATTTCCTATATATAAGTAATTTTCATGCAGACACTTTTGACTTATGGTAACCTAAAAAAAAACCCCTCAGTTTTTACACAGACAAAGAAGACAGGCAAACATACATGAAGGAAACTGAACACTGACATTAGTGGTAACTCGGGTACAATATTATTAACCTTTCCTTACCCTGGACCTCTCCTCTAGTTTTGTCATCATGACGACTGTTGCACCTTGTTGCTCCCACATCATTCTCCAGAAGTCACCAAAGGTTTCTGGCAGTGCCCCCTGCGTTGCTATATATGCATTCTGCTTCCTGTATCCATCTATGTAATTGGCATTGATATAGTCGCTGCCTGGTATGCCTGCAAAGAGAGGAGAGTGAAAATACAGGGCAGAATTTCTGTGTGTCCTGTTGTACTGGGGCTGAATAATCCCGTGTCACAGCTCATTTGATGAATCTGGACTTGCTGCATGCCAAATAGTAGATGGGTACTTACAAGTGAGTATATGCCATTTGTGGAGTCAAGAGGCATGGTGGTCTCTTTGGGAATAACTATTCTTTTGAAACAAGAGATGTTGCATGATAAGAAGTATAAAAGAAGACTGAAAATCTGTATCAGGTAGAGAGACCTGGGGGTTAACACAGCAGCATCTAAAAGCTGGTCTGATGCTGGCTGCAGGCACCCAAAATATGGCAGTGCTACCTGGGACAGACAGGGAGGATTCTCAATCAGACACCCTGAGTAGGCTCCTCAAGCATTCTTGTTGAAGTCATTGCATTTCCTTTAAATACAGAAGAAAAAAAAAATATCATCAAGACTATTAATATCACTGCTATATTCATGTTTTCCATTAAATGTAAAGATAATTGAGTTTTATTGTAACAAACATATGATGTAAGTCAGCTACAAGAAACAGTGAAATTTTCTATATGGTGTATGCATGAAATAAAAACCTTTGCATGACTGAATAAGAATTAAAAACGCTAAGAGAAGTGGGATCCAAGTCTTGTGTGCACATGGGACCTACACCATTATTTGCTTGAGGCTCAGGTATTTTGGACAAGATTTATACAGGAACTTTGGCTGTGTCTACCAGACACATGTCCATTCTTAGAGCCCCATAGGAACCAGGCCAGCTCCTAACTGCAATTTATATAACTCAGGGTATGCCATAGGGTGACTGGACTTGGAACATGCTGCCTACCCAGGCCAAGGAGATGCACTGGCTGTAGCGTAAGTCACATTACTAGTCTGCACTAATAAGGCAGACATGCTTATGGAAATGGAAAAAAATGGACCAATTCTCAGAAAACTGCTGGATTCAGCAATGCAGTGCTCAGCTTTTAACTCAGACAACATGCATGTTGGAAGACAAAGCACTAAGGGAACCTTTTTTTTTTTTTTGTCACTGCTGTTATTTTAATTGATGACTAGAGAAAGAACTAAGATACTTATGTGAGATCTCAGTGCTGGCTGAATGGCAAAGCAGTGTTAATTAGCTGAATATAGTTATCTGCACCTTAGTAAGTTTTGTTGAAGTAATTGACAGAAGTTATTTCTTTGAGCAGAAATGTATGATCTATATTTATGCAGCCAATCTGTCATGCACAAGTCTACAACCCAAATAAATGGTGGAGGTTCCACGAACTCTTTCATAAGAGAGTCAAGGTGATGATACCAGCTCCAGATTTATTCTACAGCTATGACTGTTTTCCCTCCACAAAGCAACAAAATTGAGTTTATTTGGCTATAAAACAGAATAAATTGTAAATAAATATTCCCTAAGATTTTTGTCAGAAAAAAAAATCTTCAAATAAGTTATAATGCATTATCTCCTGCTGGTGATCCCAAATTGGGAATTACTGGAGCTGCACACTCCTGTCTTTCCTGACTATAAGTGGCACACATCTGAAAATTTCTTCCAAAATATTTTGAATTTGAATGGAATTTAGGGCTACCTCTTTAAAACGGACTGCTCCTTTTTACCTACAATTTTAATAGTTTCAACAGTCATTCAGGGTAAGCCTGAATGTTTCATCCCTCTGCTTACTTAGCATTGAATGAACCCACAGACTAAATGTCACACTAAGTAAGATCCAATATAATCTGGAAATTATTCAGATTATGGGTTACTGCAGCTGTAGTCTAGCAAAAAATTATGCCTTCATGCCCGATAAAGTTCCATAAATGTTCTTGTTTCATATGTTCAAATTATGCTTAAACTAAAATTTTAATTTGTTTTAACTTTCTGTACACAATTAGAAGAAAAACCTCACAAAATATTTCAGAGATAGAAAGATCTTGTAACTTCAGGATTACAAGAGAGGCAGAAAATGGCACTCCTCAGGCAATATGCAAGAATGGAGGCAGGCAGACTGTCTGACTGATTTGACCTGACTGAAAGTCTTTTCCAGGGGAAAAATAAAACAAAATAAAAAACCTGTTAACCTGCATAGTCTATAGATGAAAAACATGATTTCCCTCCATTAAAGGTAGAAAGTGGAGTTCAGAAGCATCACTTTTGTAGACCAGATGCTGTATTACATGACACTTCTCATTGTGGATATTGGAATTAATGACATAGAAAATAAAACTGCTAGGCACAAGGATGTATTTTCTTCCTTTATCAAGATAATAAAACTTTTTTTTTCACAAAACAGATGAGAATAAAGAATGAAGCCAGGAAAAATCGACACCAACTGGGTATTATTAACAAAGGAACTGAGAAAGCTGGTAAGAAATGTTTTCTGCATAAATTAGAATTATATTATGATGCCTGGTATCATACTTTGAAGCACATATTATAAATAGAAGCCTGAGGAAAAAATGAAAAACAACAGTTTGTAAAGTGGTTAAATGATCTTCTGGGAAAGCTGTCCTCTGGAACTGATAATGCACAAACTCAGTGGGAAAATTAAGCATGAGAACTATTGCAAGCTGTTCCCTAAAGAATGATCTTTACAAATCTTAGCAACCAATAGCAGCACCTGATGTAAAAAAATCCAGAATGTCTAAAATTGTAAATTCTCCTTCTAGTTGTTAATTTGTATTAAATTTATTGATAAATTATATTTAAATCTATAATTTCTAAAATAAATAAATTCAAATTCTTTAAATTAGAATTCAAGAAAAGCTTCCAGATTATACCTTCCTTGATCTAAGATTCAAGAAAGAAAGAATTAAGATTAACAATTACTGATAATTGCATCGTTTTCTTTAAATATAGATTCAAGTGGAAATTTCCACTCTGTTTCTCCACTTTATTTCTGTAAAGTGAACACAAAAACTTCTTTATGTCCTTTAGCTAGAAAAATTATTTTACAAGGCAAGTCAGCTTGACTGCACCAAACAAGGATATATGTGGGACACAGACATGATAATCCATTTATCACAGGCCCTAAGCAACTATTCATGAATTAACCAATGACTTTTTGGGAAAAAAAAAAAAAAAAAAAAAAAGGACAAACAAAAACATGTTGGTCCAACACTTGCACCGAGATTTACATCAAGAATTTATCTCTAGCAGAATACAGTACTCAATAGTACTGTACAGTACTCAATAATACTTGATCTGCTGAGATCAAGAGAACATTCAGAATGCTCAGTTCCATTGTCTCTCTCTCAAACAGTATCCATTAGGGATGTTTTCTGTTCTCCATCCATTCTTATAGTCCCTTTAAGTACTGTACCCATTTCTCACAGAGTCTCTTTTCATCACTGTTTTCATGCATGACCTCAGTTTCACATCCTGCTCCAAAATCCTTAAAGCCCTCTAGGGACGGTGCCTTATCATAAGAGGAGTAATGAATTTGTTAAAAATAACAAATACAAAACCTGGATAAATTTAAATATCTACAATGACAAAGAATAAAAATTCTTCAAAGACAAGTAAATCTGAATATTAAAATTTTCCTTTTTGAAATGACTTTTCTGGCCATATCCTCATTCTGAGCTGAGAAAACAGAACAATTTTGTGTCAACTCTAATAGTGCAAAACCAATCAAATGACAACTAGTCTGACTGCAGTACAATGAAATCCTGCAAACTTTTGTTAGCTGCCATAGCTTGAAGGCAACATACCCACAAGCACAGCAGCAATTGCCATCATTACTTAAATTTGGGTTTCACAGTTAAGAGAGGTCAGTTGCTCTGTAAAAGCATGGGTCAAGAAAGGGACAAAGCAACCAAATTCTGTAATACTGATATGAACTTCATCTAAGTCTTTTGGCTTCAGTGGGATTTACTGTATCTTTAGGATGGCATACCTGAAGTATAAATTTAGGGTAATCTATGGAGTATAACCTGACTTTTATAAGTTTCATGAAAGCAGAGACACAGATTCTGCACAAGGAGTCAGTTAAAAACCAACCTCCTGAACCATGATTCTACCATAACTATTTTCTAGTAGCATTTTCAACTGTGATGATGAATGACCAGAATCTGCAATCTCTGTATTTAGCCAGACAGGAGTTAAGCACAATGGGCAAGAATCAGATAAGTAGCTCAGCATAAAAAACAATTCACTTTTAAATATCTCAAGAGAACAAAGTTTAGTTTTTACATAGTAAGTGTGAATGAGCAATGAAATAAAATTAGCCAATGCCACAATTGGCTAAGTACAGAAGATAAAAATCCCCATGAACTGTATTGCTCTCAATTTATGCTGAGAACTCATGAGCTGAGTTGACAGTACAGCTGACTGCAACATAGACTCAGATCCACAAGGCTAATAATTTAGACCTTAGGAATGATTCACTTGATTTTCTGAGGAGAGTTATAATCTTAAATAACTTTAATTAGACTTCACGTTTCATTCACAAACTTAAATCAAGCAGTGGAATTATTTCAAGCCTTTACAAAGGCTGAGTACTGAACAGCCTTTCTATTTAAAATAAATTAAACTATAAAGTTTTGTTTCTGCACTACTTCCCTAAGACGTGCTTTTAGTCATGTGCATAAATAGTGTGAAGTAATAGGATTAAATTCTGTCATGCTTGTAAACAAGTTGCAAAAATACCATGATGAACTCAGAGCATTGATGAAGTTGTACTACTGATTTAAATCAATGTCTGGTGTTTTGAATAATGCCAGACCAAAAACCACAGGCTGGTTGTGCATGTGCGAAAAAACAGTGTGAAAAATCTTATTTATATAAGGTTAACTTATTTATATAGTTAACCTGCACCAGGTTAACTATAAAAGGATACAGATCAGGACCCTTGCTATCCTCTCTTTTTCATCTCTTTCTCTTTTGCTTTCTTTGTCACACCACCCCAGATCTGCACCATCCACATGGAAGGAACAACGTGGAATCTGGGGCAATATTGTTTGTTCTGTCTCTCTTCTTGCTTTGTCTGATC